GGAAACATCTGAAACAGAAAGAAAGTTGCCATTACATAATGAGTTTACAATCAAAGTTTTCTTTTTCTCTAAACAATTATAAAGTATTTCCCATCATTTAACTGAGGTAGTGTTTACTACATGTAAAAGAGATAATTAAAAAAAAAATTCTTATCATGCAAAGAAACATTTGCTTTGTTACCCTACCTTTTGATGTACAGAGGGGGGGTACAGAAAGTTTAGGTTCCATCTGTTGAAGCTGTCAAATGAAATGTAGAATAATTACAACAAACGTTCTAAGGAGTAACAAGGTTATGTTGGTATTTCTTGTGATTATGAAAGCTCGTAGTGTACTTTTTTTATTTTTGTTCAAATAATTTGTTTTCTATTTCCAGGATTATAAACAATTTCTTTGAATGTATAAAATTATACATTGTTTCTCCAAGAACGAAACATTCATTTGAAATAAATTGCAATGATTTTCTCCCATTTTAGCTGTCTTTGATGGAAAAACCAACACCTGTTGCTTACCTCCTGTTGATAAAATATCGACTTTTTGGAGTTTTTTGGAAAATCTTTTTGAAGACTTATTATGCTGTGAAAATTTTTATACAAGCCAACCCTTGGAAGGTGGTTGTAACAAATGTAATACTAAGAGTCTTGTAAAGAGAGGTAAATGTATGACCAGACTTTAGTACATTGTTACAGAAAACTTAATATGAAATATCATGAAAAGATAATAAATGTCCAACAAACCCTTTGAAAATTATTTGAATGTAGATAATACTGAAAGACCAGTCTACAGTTAACCCTTTGAATGTAGTTGTGATATAGTTAATATATAAGGTCTTTTAAAGACTAGTCTACAGTTAACCCTTTGAAGGTAGTTGTGATGTAGTTAATATAAAAGGTCTTTTAAAGACTAGTCTACAGTTAACCCTTTAAAGGTAGTTGTGATGTAGTTAATATAAAAGGTCTTTTAAAGACTATTGTACAGTTAACCCTTTAAAGGTAAGTTGTGATGTAGTTAATATAAAAGGTCTTTTAAAGACTAGTCTACAGTTAACCCTTTAAAGGTAGTTGTGATGTAGTTAATATAAAAGGTCTTTTAAAGACTAGTCTACAGTTAACCCTTTGAATGTGGTTGTGATGTAGTTAATATAAAAGATATTATAAAGACCAGTTTACAGTTAACCCTTTGAAGGTAGTTATGATGTATTTAATATAAAAGGTATTTTTTAAGAGAGCTATGAATTATGAAAGTGGATGTGAAAAACAACAACATTTATTTGATACTTGGTTGTTTTAATTTAGATATCAATCACAGAACTATAACACTATGTATAGAAATGTTATATATATATTTTTTAAAAGGAGTGGTTTAAAAGCATCATGGTCACAAACTGAATAATTTGGTTAGGGAAAGAAATACAACTTTTGCATGTGTATGTTCAAATTCTGCACCTTAGGAATGCGCTTTCTGATATGTTGAATTTTGAGATTGAAGGAATAATATTTTTCATTCAAAGTGTAAAAATTGTAAGATTTTTTTCTTAACTGTAGTTTATGAATGTTTTGGTGACTGTTTGTGGCTTCTTCAATGTGCCTGAAACTGATGACATATGTGATGGAAAATGTTTAGTCTGTAGTGATATATGTATCCTAACTTTCAAGTTTTAAGAAAATCAACTTGTAAAATTATAAGTAAAGTTATCTGTAAAAGAATAAATAAAAGTTATGGCACATTAAATCTTCTTTCACCAAGTGCTAAGAATGTCTCTCTAAAATTGTGTACAATATTTAAAATCCTTTGCTAGAAACATAGAATATAGTTGCCAACTTATTTTGTTTCAGAAGAAACGGGTAGTTATCAATCTACAGTTGAACCTTCCAGTCAGAAACGTCGATGGTCCTCAGAATCATCAGACTCTGGAGTTCGTTACCTATCCTTAGGGCACAAACCTGGTAAAATCTCCAGAACTAGTAGCGTGAAAGAGACTGAAGGTATGTATTAAGCTTGGAATCCATCTTAATCTGAACCTACAATTGATTTTTTGAAACAGGTTAACAAGCATAAAATAATTTTTGTTGTTTTTGTTTTTGTGAATTGAGTACTAAATGTGTTAAATTTCATAACAACTTGCAAATTTTTAAAAATTACCACATGGAATTAATAATTGTTTATTTAATGACTTGAAATTATTTGTTTCATTACAGCAAGCTCCACTACTCCTGTACCAGAAAAGCCTCCTCAGAGCCCATCAGAATGGGGTATTGAAGATGTGATTCGTTATATAACAAGCTCAGACCAGGGACTTGGTGTTCATACAGACTTGTTCCGCAGACATGTGAGTATTTGAAGAACATCTGTTTGGGGCCAGTCATTAACTAAAAACTAATTATCTTTAGTTTCATACAACATTTAATCCTGTTTTTCATGAAACAGAAAATGTTTTATCTGCTTTTGATTAGAAATTATTTATCTATTTATGGTACAGATCTCGTAAAGGTAAATAGTTTTCCATTTTTCTCTTTTGTGCATGAAAAAAACACAAGAATGTGTAATTAAGCTTAGTGTATATCAAATAGAATATATCTTTTAACTATTTAACCCTCCTATTACTAGAAAATGAAAGACATATAAGGCCAACTTCTTTTGTGTATGCCTTTCTTGTTTGCTTTAAGTATTATACATCTGGTTTGTGTAAAAATAATCTAATTATTATTTTTTCATTTGGTATTATAAGGTACTAGACTCAGATATGCTCCTTAATAAAAATATGACCCATTACAAAAACTGAAAGTACATGTTGTACCCGTGTTGATTGATAGTTAAAGGGTTAAATAGTTGCATCTTCTCTATTTAGGAAATTGATGGGAAAGCACTGATGCTATTAAACAGTGACATGATGATGAAGTACATGGGGTTGAAGCTTGGACCCGCCCTCAAAATATGCAACCTCATAAATAAACTGAAAGGCAAGAAGTCATTGTAACATTGATACTGTGAGAAGTTTTATTATTCATGAATTTTTAATCTGGTGGAATCAGCTGGTAGAACAGTGTCAACCAAAGTGTATTTTTTTATGTTTTTTTTCTCTCTCTAAATTCCAAATGAAGATTATAAGATACAATCTATAAGGCAGATTTAATGTCTTTTTAACTATTTCAGTTCTTGAGTGCTATTACAATAGGTGGTTGGAAAGTGAGCAATTATAATACTGGAGGTTTTTAAAAAAAAAAGAAAAAAAAAGGTGACTTCTTATGAAATGTATATAAGCCAGTCATAGAAAAATCAGGTTCCTCTGGGAAGATACTACAAAGAAATTGATAATATAATTTGTTTCGTTTGATATATATAGAAAGAGAGTGATACACATATATAGATTTGTATAATGTGTGTTTAAAATTCATTCTATTTATCATTTTTTACATTTGAATTTGTTTGTTTGGCCTAATCTTTTTTTATTGTCAGTGTAAAGATTTTTTAGAGGGGGACTGAAACCACTATTTTATATTTGAAGATTGTTGAGTAGTTTTCATGGAGTTTTAATGTTGATGGAGTCTGCATAAATAGGTATAGCCGAATTTAGAATGTTAAAGGCTGCTGTGTGTGTGTGTGTGTGCTTTAAAATTAATTTTTTGTTTAATTAAATTGACAGGTATTTCATATACATTATAAAATGTAAGGCTATGAAAATGTACAATCATGTGCTTTGTTTTTGGTAACAAAAATGAAACCTGACTGGTAAATTCGGATTTTTGGCTTAAATTTAAGAATTCTTTAGAATTTTAAATGAACTTAAAAGTAAATATGAATATAACTGTAATGGAATATTTTAAATCATTTACATTCCAAAGGTTTCATTATTAGGCAAATCTGGTTTCATATGGAATATTCCACAGAACACAGCTGACATGTTTAGATAAAGATCTGGGTTCATTTGGGAATAAATCTGAAATCTATTAGGGTGTTAGACTCTTAAGTAAAATATACAGTCTTACCCCATTTTTTGTATAAGCAGTGAATTAACCCTTGGGTCATTTTTTTTATAAAATACTTGTTTCAGACTGTTATGTTGTGGTATTTTGTATAAGGCTGTATTTTTTTTCCTTTTCTGTTGTTTTCTAATGCATTTCTCAGTTATTAAATTAAATTCTTGTGTAAGGATAACTTGTTTTTTATTGCATGTTAGAAAAGTAGCACGATATTTTAGGTGTAACTAGTGAAACAACATAATTATTTTGTTTTTTGTTTTTAGCTTGTTACATCTAAAAGACTACTATATTGGCATTTCAAATGGATCTCTTTGAAACATTTTGCCAAAAAATTGGGTATAAGAATACATGGACAACCTGAAAAAAAATATCATCAATATTCTTTGTGTGTGCAAGTACATAAGCTCTTTTTCAGTTTTTTTCAATGAAACCGAGTCATGGCTTAAGTAAAGAACTATCTACAGTCTACAAAAATGTGCATGATTACTGAAAATTCTCTCCATTTAGATAAGCAAGATTTTATTTATATACATTTGTGAGTTTACTCGTTCTTTTTTATGATGTCACTGTGACACGTCATATATAACAAAACTTATTTAGATACTTATGTTTGTCTTATTACTCTTCCTTAACCTAAGCTACCTGTTTGATAAGTTCTATGTGATAATTTTAATCATGGGTGCTAAGATTACCTTGTCCTAGTGTAAGCAGTAAACAATACGAGATAAAACAAATGTACGATTGCTTGATGTAAATATAAGTTTACCTGATTCTTTCACAACTAGATAATGTCTGTTGTATTTGTATTGCTTAGTTTTGTTGAAAAAATCACATGCTATCATAATTGGAAGTACAGAAAGATTCAATACACAGTAGGTAAAGTTAGGATTTTAAGTTCAAAACTAGAGTTAGGGAAGTTTTATTTTTCTGTGTAATATATTTTGAGGAGATAGTACAATTTAGAGGCCCCGTATTTTTTTCTGAAGTTTTTGTTTCATCATGTAGAGGAGGAGTAGATAGTTTTTTTTTCTTGATTGTTTTGTTCTGCCCTGTTACATAATATTCAAAACATGTTTGGGCTCTGAATAAACAACAAAGTTTGTGTTGATAATCAGATGTTTTGCCAATATATTTTTGTTGAATTATAAGTGGTTACTTATCACTTTTTTTTAAGAATTGAGACAGAAGCAGAATAATCCATTATACATGCATCAAGCATTTTTTTGTTTGAATCATGTGTAAAAATCTCCGTTGAATATTATTTTTTCTATGTATAGATTACATTTCTCTGATTTTATTTTATTTGTACATATTGGTTTCAGAATAAATCAGCCCACAATGTTCTTTAACCACTGTTTAACAGAATACTTGTAACAAAGAATATGTAGCTTACTAAAATAATTAGACTATATTCATCACTAATTCTGATACATTAACAGAATATTAAATTATGTAAGAAGAGTTCCACTTAATAGTTCTGTGTGAAAATTAAGTGACTTGTTTGATGGGCCAGATGAGGCTTTGAGAATTCAAAGTCAATGAAATATGCACTTTGACTGTACAAATCTGCATTAAACAAATTGTAATGCCTTCAGAAGTGTTTATTAATTTCAGATAAAATAATTTAATGAACCTAAATCAAGGGAGCTGGCATCTCAAACAGGTCACCACACTCCAAAGTTTGCTGCACTAAACATAAGTTTAGATGTTCTTGGTACCTAGAGACCCACGGCTTTCAAAATGGCAGCATGTTATTAAGTATTTGTGTATATATGCATATCAATCCACAAACTATGCATATTATAAACTGTTTTTTGTTTTAGACTATTAAAGTCATACAAAGTTGTTGGATATACATGTGGTGAACAGTAGGTTGCTACCCAGTTGTTTATGGAAAATTATTTTGATGATACCTAGCCAGTAAGTAAAAGCCTGTGATTTTTTTTTCTCATATTTCTGACATAGAATTATTTTCTGTATTCGATTAAGTCTTAGTTTGAAAATTATTTGTGGGTAACATTTTTATTTCTTAGTGTTTATTTAATGTGTGTGTAAAGTTGAAAATCAGAAGTGTTAAAAAGTTTTCTTTTTTCTTGTGTATTTTTTCAGCAGGTCATAGTGTTACTGTAGCTTTTCTCTGGATATAAATGCTGGACCTAAGGTGGTAAAAGATGTTGTTCCTTCCCGTGCATGGTAATTAAATACCATAGGTCCAGTTATGCACAGTTCAGTGTATATGCTTTACACTTCAATATACCATAAAAACGGATTTAATACTAAGTGAGTTTTAAGAGATGTATCCAGTTCATTAGCTGTAAGCAGTTTGTGCATGAAGACTGGAGAGGATAGTAGTTTTGAAACGGATAAAATGTTTTCTTTGAAATATTTTTATTTCGCTAAGAGTCTTACGTACATAATGATTAAACTATTGTTAATTAATACTCCTTATTTTCTTTTCTTCATTCATATTTTCCTGATATTTGAGTTATATTTAAGGGGTTTTATTTTAAACTTGAATTTTGTAACGAACGAAGCCCCTATACATTTTTAACGTAAAAGTATATTTTGTAGATGATTTTAAGGTTTTTGATAAATCTTGTGTCTTTCTGGTTTGTAGTTCTTAGAATATCTCAGTTATTTTGAAGGACGATTATTATTCATAAAACGTTTTACAGCATTTTCCTTCATATTTTTTAAAGACACACGGTTGCTTCGAACACAAGTCATCATCAGTAGTGCCATGTAATTGTCTAATCTGGTACTATTTACAAATAAAGCTTTTTCTTTTATTGGCGTTTTAATTATATAGCATGATTCATGAATAAACGTGGCACTATTCAAGAAATTAACAGATGGCGCTGCATCAGCCATATTCAGACCGTGTGCCTTTATACTACATAAAATCATCCCAGAGGTCAGACTTCTATTTTTCTATGATTGTTTGCTGAAAAACACCTTTCTGTCTTTCACTCATTTATGGGATATTGTAAATAAACCTAGATTGTCTTATTTTTGTGTGTAAACATCTCACTGGCACCAAAATGTTGGTGGTTACTAGTAGGATACAAATTAAATGAAACTGGCACCTAATGTTTGAACAAATCATTGTCGTGTCTTTTCAATCTAATTAAAAGACTAATTTCGTGTGAGAATATATTTTCATGATTTTTTTTTTTCGTTTTAAAATCGTAGAGGTTTCTATTACCGTTTAATCACAGATGATGGAGTTGTAAAACAATACACACCGAGTAAAGCGACAGCGCTGTAAAACAACGCCGTTATCAAAAACTTAACGTGAGATACGCAAAATTGTTTTAAATGAAATGTTAACAACGCCGTTATCAAAAACTTAACGTGAGATACGCCAAATTGTTTTAAATGAAATGTTAACAACGCCGTTATCAAAAACTTAACGTGAGATACGCCAAATTGTTTTAAATGAAATGTTAACAACGCCGTTATCAAAAACTTAACGTGAGATACGCCAAATTGTTTTAAATGAAATGTTTGTCATAGTGATATATTTTATGTACGTAACACTTGTAAAAAAAGTTTATTTCAATCGTTGAATTATCGATGCAAAACTTTTAAACTGTTTCTTCTAAGATGTTATTTTAAAAGCCAAAAAGCAGTTTATACCATGAAGTTGGGTGAAACTAAACATTTTAATGGGTAGTAGGTGTGATGCATAAACTGATTTTGGGCCTATATACAGTGGTGTTACCAATATTATCGTCACAGAAATATCATGTCCTATCACAAATTAAGGGACCATGCTTCATTAACAGAAGCGTTATGTACCATTAAACTTGAATTTATTTTTTGACATTTGAAAATAAGTAGTTAAATTAAAATTTCGGTGATGTCAAATGGCTTTTGCTTGTTTATTTTACACTGTTCCTATGATCTGATACGACTTTGAGTGTAAGTTCAAGATCTGTAATTGGCGATAAGGAAAATTTGATTATCTATTTTGGTAAAAAAACAACAACAACAACATAACTTTGATTCAAGAGTAGACTCCCCTCCATGATGTCTCAGCAGTAAGTCTGAGGGCTTATAACGCTTAAAATCGGTTTCGTTACCCGTGGTGGCAGAGCACAGATAAGTTTGTCTGAATATCAAAAGAAATAAACGTTATTAATTTGTATGAGATGGTGATAAAATGCAATACTAGTATAACCTTTAATTTGGTAGTATATTTAATAGTTAATGAAATATAAAAGATAATGGGCCTGACTTCCACTGAACAGTTTTACTACCAAAGATGTTGAATAAGAACCACGACCTTTGTAATAGGTACGTATAATCTGCTTTTCTAAAGACGTAATCAAAAATTCAACATTATTAGCGCCATCTTTTGGACATTGATTACTCATCAGAAATAAATGTAATTTAAGAAATTAAAACTTCTCTTGTGATTTCAGATAAACGTTAATTAATTTGATAATTTTTATGCATTTAGTTAGAAATTTCTAAAATCAAAGATAGGGTGTTTGAACTTTCTTAATACATTTTTACTTTAGATGTCACAATGATGAATGATTTACAGCCTCTTAACATATTTAAAAAGTAATTAGTAATACTGTTTGTTTTTGTTTTAAAAAAAAAACGCCTTATTTCACAAAAGCCGAGCGCAGCCCATTAGTTAGCATGCCAGCCTGTGATTTTGTGGTTCGCGCTCTGTTGCCGCCAAAAGAAAAAATCCCCGTTTGGATGGGTGCATTATAACGAGTAACAATCAAATCCTAATATTCGGTTAGAGTGCTCCAAGTGTTGACTAGCTGCCTTCCCTCTAGTCTATTACTTCAAAGTTTGGGACGGCTAGCGCAGATAGCCCTAGAGCTGCCAAGTTCGCGAACATCAACAAATAGAAGATGTTAGGCGTTTCATGAAAATTGCACGCTTTTTGTTTGTGTTTGTTTGTTGATGAGCAGAAAGCTAAACAATGGGGTATCTGTGCTGTGGCCATCGCGGGTATCGAAACCCGATTTTAAGCATTATAAGCCCTCAGACTTACGGCTTAGCCATTGGGGATCTAACTATATGCCTGATGTGGTTCAGCGGTAAGCTTGAGAGCTTATAGCAATAAAATTTGGGACTAGATCCCTGCAGAAGGTATAGCACTTAGCGCATTGTGCAGTTTTGCGTTTTGAAATTAAAATAATCAAGTTTACCACTAACAAAACACCGATCATTAAAACAACAGTAGAGTTCTTCACAGTTGGGTTTATTTTTTCAAAAACTTTTGTCCCAGTGAAAAAAAAAATCGACAGTAAAAAAAAAACAAATGCAAACAAAAAAGTTCTGACATCACATCTGCATTTTTAAAAGTTTTCATTTAAAACAATTGACATTCAAGTATCGCCTTATAATGAATCAGGTTAGTTTTACGATCTCTTCGATTGAGAGTTCATGGAATAGAAACTCGTCGTCGGACATGCTCGCCCTTTCAGCCTTGGTGTCGTTACAAAGTGACGGTCAATCTACTATTAATTAGTGAAAAGTAGTCTAAGAGTGTTGGCGGTGGGTGATGTTGACTGGCAGCTGTCTCTCTAGTCAAGTACTTCAAAAATAAGAGTGGCTGGCGCAGGTAGCTGTAGAGTAGCTTTGCGTGAAATTCAACAAACAATAAATTGCAGATTTAACAAATGCTTATGACACCTCACGTAATTGATTTTACATAATACATTATTTGGATTTGATGAGATTTTCTGTTACCAGATTAATTTGTATTTGTCAAATAAAATACGCCATTTTTTAAAAACTGGTCTTAGTCTATCTCATTTGATCATGCCCTTTTGTACAGAATTTTTGGTATTCGGTATTATTTCCATTTCCTTGTACCAATACGTTACTTCGTAGTAAATAAAAATATCAAAGAGAAAATATCTAGAGAGGTATTAAGTGCCGAAGTGGTGAAGTTGTTAACAAGCTGTGGACCGGAAGTAAATTCTATTTTGGGTTAAGAGTAATTGAATATTATGCGACGGGTGCTGCTGGTTGGTTATTATCCCCCTGATTAGTAACTAAATTAAAGACGTTAAGTTTGAAACCTTAGGCAAGACTTACCTGATTGTTAAGCCCATATGTCGCATAAGGAGCTTTTTGTGCAAGATAGAAATGTCTTATAGTGTAGGAGGGTTCCACCAGGGTTGTCGAAAGCATGCAAAAGAAAAATATACGAACGTGGAGAAATCGAATGAATTGATTTTATTTAAAAATTTACCATGATATACGTCAGGAAGATTGTAGTTTAATAATGTTGCCAACCGGAGGTCAGCAACTTTGTAGTGCTTGTAGAGATATATCGTTGATCGCGTCCTTTGCAGGTTGGCGCACTGCCTGTAGTATGATTCTGAGCCGTGTGTCATTTACTACAGGGCTTGCCTACGTGGATACGAGTTCTTGACAGAAATTGATTATATCTTTGCTTTGCTTGTTTTCCCACCTTATCATAACAGAGGGGATGTATATAGTAAACCCTATTATTTTTCCATGGAAGAAGCTATAGCACCTTAGAGAGCATAAGAGACGTATCTTCTTAGCCATGGTGCCAAGCGCGTCCCAGTGGTTAGCGTGCCGAATTGTTCCGCGATTCTTGAAACGTTACCGTTAAAATAAAAATCATGCTTCAGAGCTCAAGGTGCGTTACAAGAGTGATAGTCTAAATTTAGAACGATCAGCGCAGGTAGCCCCAATTGTAGCTTTGCGCGAAATCCAAGAGACTTAGCCATGAGAAATTACCCTCTTTCATTGTATTTTAAATAAGTTATTTTAATTTTCAATGATGATATTTTATACTGTTTGACTGTGATTTTGCTGCTAATGACAATATATAATAAAATTAAAAAAAAGTACAGAAATATGATTAAGTAATTTGTAAAAAATAATTACTGCACTGAGGAATGGGTGGTATAATAAATGTTTAAGCCAAAATTTGTTTTGGTTAATATTGTTATTTTGTAGGGCTAATCCTAATTTCCTCAAGCCGCGTTATCTTATGGCAGTTTGCAATGTATTTTATTTTATCCATAGCACGAATTTTTCGTCGTGATTTGCCGATAGCGCATCATTTGCTATGAAACATTTGAACTGTCGCTTTGAGAAGCCAGCCAACAGATTACATGACTGCTGCCCGGTTGTCAAGGCTGTAATCATGCGTGCGTAACGTCGCGCACGTGCAACTCGTTCCAGCCGACTCATTTAGGCCTAATTATAAACAATTTGCTCAGTCCCGTATAACGTATTCAGATATATCTGATGGCGTAAAATTTCACTTACTCACAGATGAAGATATGTAGAATTTCATTGGAGAAAAGGACAGTAAGAATACTAAAAACTTAATCAAGGGAACTGTAAAAATATTCGAATAACACTGCAATATATGGAGGCCACTATGGATGACACGGTCAGATGTATCTCCAGCGTTATTGGCAAAATGTATGCTGAACATAGACAGGTGCGTAGTTTATACGTTTATTGATATTCTGTGATAAGTTTATTGAATAACTGTGGCTTAATCCTCGATAAAATTAATTATTTTTCATATAAATATTATTTATTTATAATTATTTACGAAATTGTCCGATGCCTTTCATAACCACGTTACCAGTAGTGACATGTAGACGAATTGTCCCACTAATTGAAATTGCATATATTTGAGACAATAAAACATTGTTTAATTGCGAAATTGAAGTGGGTGTGGGGTAGAATTGAACAATTATTGACTGGTAATTTTAGGCGTTGGCCTGCGGAAGTGAGGGTGGCCAACACTTGTTTTCCTAGGACAAAAGGGAAAATTTTTATGCTATGTTAGGTTTACGTGCTTAGGCCTAGTGCTGTTTGATCCAAATCATAATTTATTATTGTAACCATGGAGGGCAGTAGTTGTAAAAGAGCAAGATAATTTCTCACAGAATAGGAAAAGGGGTAGTTTGTGTTTGAGAAAGTGGATGACGAGCTGAATTTGGTCGCCATTTCCCAAATGTAGAGGATGATTCGTTATTTTCTTTTGATTATGGTAAAAGAGGTATAATAACTTATATTTTTGCAATCTGCTCTCCATACCGTCATTTTTAAAAGTAAGGAATCGGGAAAAG